TTTTTAGAGCTCATTCAGAGCTTATCCTACTCAAAAGAGTCTAATTTTGCACTAAACTGTCCTCCATATATTCCACAAGTCTGATTTCTGATGGAGGGTTACACACCACTCCAGAATAAGGCACTATTTGTGAATAAATAGGCTAATTCACTAATGCTTTGGAGGCCCTTGGCAACCCGTCACTCACTGTAGATGGATGTGCTGCTGAACTGGAGAGAAGAGCGGGAGAATGGGTGGTCTCCAGTGTATTCCAGCACTCAAGGAAGCGGCAACAGGAAAATAAGCTTCTGTTCTTGAAAGCTCTCTACACTTTCTCTGGACACTAAGAGCTTTGCTTTAGGAAATTCACCTAAACAGGCTGGGTTTATTTAGAAAGTCTGTTCCCCCCTGTCAAAATTAAATCAGAAACCAGAAGAGTCTGAGGTGGGGGTGTCAAAGGATGGAGTTTCAAGCATTCCCAGAAATTTACTGTATATAAAGAGATCACTCAAGTGACACATATTGCTAGTCCCTGGAAGTAGAAGCTCATATTGCCATTACTACCTTCAAGATATAAAGGAAGGAAACAAAGTTCAGAGTTTAGAAGAAAACCAAATTTCTCACCATGACATTGGGGTTTCATATACTGTATGCAATTTGTTACCAGAAGATGTGGCTATGTTCATAGGCTTAGATGTTTGGAAGTAGGGAGAAAATTTTAAGTAAAGTAGGATAAATCTATCTGGGGGTGCTAAGTCACATTTATAAACAGTATTTGTTTCCCAACCTTCATAAGAAATTTTCTCAGGGAAGTTTTATAGAAAATAAAATACCCATTTAAAAACAAATACATAAACAGAAAACCACAGACAAATATTAGAATAGTGAAAAATCAATTTTATAGGAAATGAAATGAATGAAAAGGCCTTGGCAAAAGATTAGAGACACAGGCAATTTTTTATTCTGTAATCACTATTGAGAAGACTGGGTCTTACTTGGTTCTTCAGCTCATCTAAAATGGCAGGGATACCCAGAGGAGGACCTTGTGAAATTACTTATGGTGCCATGAACCCTAACAGAACTTCTTAGTCAGGAAAGCCTCCTCTTACTGCAGAGGAAGTCGTGTGGAGCACAGTTGGCTATCTGTTGCTGTCTTTGTGTCCTTCTAGGGATTTCTGAGAATCACCTGGCTGGCCATTGTTAAAACCTGATGTGGGTCTAGAGGGATGTTTAGAATGATCCTTTCTTACATTCTATAAAAATCCCTGAGCAATATACAGGTAGTCCCCGGGTTAAAAACGCCCAGTTTAAGGACGACCCATAGTTAAGAATGGAGCTTACTGTAGCAAGATTCGAGTGAAATACACAATGATTCGAGTGAAATACACAATGGTTCGAGTTAATTACACAATACTACTTATACAGCATTATACAATAATACTGTTCTGGCTTACATACAAATTCAGCTTAAGAACAGACCTTGGGAAAAGAACTCGTTCTTAAACTGGGGACTACCTGTAACATCCTGTTTAAAGCTGAAATAGCAATAGCAACAGAATGTTCAGCAACATTCTAAAATAATATTACTGTATTTTTTTCTGGGGAAAGAACAGATTCCATAGTCTAGAAGCTTCAGTGAGGCTCTTTTGCTTGGAACTTTCAATTCATTTCCATTTGATTTCAAAATTAAAAGCTCTGGTACAAACTTAAATCTATATAGGAGCCTAGAATTTTTGAAGGACTACAGCTTCCTCTTTTGGAGCAGGATGAAACCAGAGCTAAGAATCTGGAATAAAAGTGGAGTTCATGACAACTTCAAAGAAAACTGTAACCCCACTTCAGACAATGAAGTAGATTGACTTCAGATTCATAAAACTGAAAGCCACAGTGTTGCCTTACCCCAACATCCTCTCAAAAATCTATTTCAAAGATGTCAGAAAAACAAGAATTCTAAGTGTCGCACAGCAAGCATAATTAGCTAGATCTCTCAGCTTCAGTTTTCTTCAAATTCTTTAACAAGCATTTACTCCTCACTTGCATTTTACAGATACACATTACTACTTCCTCCAGAATTTGTAGAATTAAGTCAAATGGGAGCAAGGACATTTTTTTTTTCGTTTTCCATCTGCCTTTCCTCTTGTGCATTGGATATCCCAGTCAAGGAACCCTTGCTTTGCTTGGTTTCCTCACAAGCACAATCAAAAGTTCATAGGCAAATATGGTTCTGATTATTTAAATGAAATATTCCCATAAATGCAGGGGGGTCACATAATCCACAAAGTTATAATTGAAAAGGCAGGAGAGGTAGGCGTTGAAAGGAGGTAACTAGATGACTGTCAAGTCACTCAGAAAAGAAAAAAGGGGGGGAAACAGGATTGGAAAGACAAGCTGCAAGAAATACTAAAAAGTATGACATCTCATCACATCTTTTCTTAATTTCATGGGCCAAAGGCAGAACAAAAGATATTTTTTTCCAAAAAGAACCCCACACCTTTTTCTCCAAAGAGCAGTTCTCCAGGAAGTACCCAGATGCAGAGATTATCTGAACAGCATCATCAAATTATTTTCTCCAACTGGAAGAAGCACATAAACTCAGTTCTCAGAGGAGCCCTAAAGAGATGGTTACCACTTGGGATGAAGTAGGATGGGGTGCAGGGGAGAGAAGGAGAGGGAAAAGAGGCATCAAATCCTCCTCTAGGCTAGGCATACTTAGTTGGAAGAAAGACCTATTGAACCTAATGGAACTTATGTCCTTGTGGGCAGAACTGGCTAATTTCTCTTCTTAGATACTCTTTTTCTGGAACTTTGGACTTAATTAGAAAAGAATTCTGATGGCCTAGATAGAACTGAATGAACTGTTGGTTAAAAATGAGGATTTGGAACCAAACCCCCTATTCATATTTATTTAGAAGTAAATTCAAAGTGGATTACTCCCAGGCATAGGAATAACAGTGGCAAAGAAGAAAGTGGGAAGAGGAAATGAAAAAAAGGGGAGGTCCCTCCCC